ATATATGGGAGAACTCCCCACCCCCGGGGGGTTGTTGAGTAGTGACGGAACTGACTAGCATTTCTACGGCATTTTTTTTTTTACAATTATTGCCAAAAGGCAGGATCGTCGCATAAGTTATTTCAGTCAAATCCAACAAGTGGTTTATCGTCAATGCTGGGTTCTGATCGAACGAGCTATTCTTCGTTTGCACGTTACGTCATCGCGGCCATGTTGGTACCATTTAACAAAAGGTTTCTCATTAGCATCCATCGTTAACGGTACCACAATGGCCGCCATGTTTTTGTCTTTTAACTCTCATGGGAATGCTTGCAACCCATCAATTGTAAAAAGTACCAGCTTTAAAAACCAAAACATTGTATTTAACTTGAATTCAAAAGTTGTTTGCATCTATATATTTGACCGACTAGTTGGATTTGACTAAAACAGTTAGTCCTCTCGCCCTCATAGCTTGAGTCAATAGCCTACTCGTGCTCGAGGACTAATTGCTAATCATTCCTACCAATAAATGGATTTGTTGATCCATGTGTTTGTAATACACATCAAGTACCATACGACTAAAGTCTCGCAAATGTCAAGCCTGAATTTTAAGATAGCAACCTCGACTATTGACTTAGTATTGCTTTTCGATAGCGTTTGCTGTGAAAATGTTTTCCTAAAGACGATAAATGAATTCTTTCTGCATAAAGTATGCAGGTCTGATGAATGAGCAGTTTTATCACGTAATTCCAAAACTAGTCTCACAGGACGGAAGAAGAATAACTATAGAAAAAAACTATAGCTGGAAAGGGCTTGTTAAAATTAATGAAACTGTGAAGGCTGGAGCCAAGTAAGCTCAAAACTCACGAAGATATGAATTTTTAAAGTTGAAGAAAACCTTTGTTAGAGGCACCTCTTGCCTCCAGCAAAGCCCCGTTTACACTGGCGATTTTTGCGGCGATTTTTGCTGCAATTTTTGTGGCAATTTTCGGAAATATGAAATCTTTTATATCATCCTTCAAAAGAGACATTCGTCTAGGAAAATCTTGGTATCCTGAAAAAAACTTTACAAGTAAATTCTTTACCATTATTTATTATGGACAAAATCGCAAAAAAAAATTGCAGCAAAAATCGCCGCAAAAATCGCTAGTATAAACGGGGCTTTACCAGCTCGCACTTTTCTAAAATCATATCTTCGCGATTTTTAAACTTATTTCCTTCAAACTTCACAGGTTTACTGATTTAAACATGCTCTTTCCAGCTACGATAATCAGTCCTTCTATCTTACTAATTTCAAAATACCTGAAAATAGCTTATTCTTCATATATAAAGTGGCAGGTTTGATGAATTGAATTGATTAAAACATTAATTATGAAAATTAAAGGAAAAAAAAACCTTGACATCTATCCTCATCGTTTGAAAACAATAAAATATTTATTCAAAAACCAAGATATTTTTTCATTTCGTTTCATATTTTATCTTTGTCTTTGTTTAATCGGTTTAATGAAACAAGGAGTAGTTCGTTATGACTCTGTAGCAGCCCAGAGGGGGATTTCCGACAAAATAGAAGATAAATTATCGTGCTAGTATCTTATCTGATGTAATATCAAGATCATTTTTATTCAAATGAAAAAATAAACCCCCCGCGAGAACGTTGTTACGTCTCTCCCTTGATTCGAGGGTTTTCTCCGGGTTCTTAAAACAGATTAACGCTAAACTTCAATTCGATTTGTAAGTTCAGAAGTCGTGCCTTGACTTAGATCAGCCTAGAGGTTGTTTCAGGGTTCGAKMTGTGAGTTAGCCATGCCCTGACTTAGATCAGCCCAGAGATTGTTTCAGGGTTTGATCTGTGAGTTAGCCATGCACTGTCTTAGATCAGCCCAGAGGATGTTTCAGGGATCAATCTGTGAGTTAGCCATGCCCTGACATAGATCAGCCCAGAGGTTGTTTAAGGGTTTGATCTGTGAATTAGCCATGCCCTGACTTAGATCAGCCCAGAGGTTGTTTCAGGGTTTGATCTGTGAGTTAGCCATGCCCTGACTTAGATCAGCCCAGAGATTGTT